GGAGGAGGAGGAGGAGGAGGAGGAGGAGGAGGAGGAGCTCAATGAAGAAAGGAAAATATTATCAAGGGGCGAAAAAAATATAGATTTACTCAACTTCTACTTTGCCCGCCTTCTCCAACAAGAGGGCAGTTTCTAGGGTGTTACAAAGCCTCAAAAGCGGGTCTTCCTTGGGAGAAGGATCTTGGTAACACCCTCTTTGGGGCTGTTTCATAAAGTAACCGACCTCCTCTTCATTTTTAAAAGTAAATGTCTTCTACCGCCCCAAGGCTCTCAGCCAAGAGTTATGTTACCCAAAAGAGGCTTCTACTGTCTACTGGAAATGCTAAATAAGAGACTTGGGTAGATGCCAAGCACTTCATTAAGAAAAATCACTTCAAGTTGAATTGTGCTATCACTCCCATGTGAAGTGCCTTGTCAATAGAAATGAAAGCCCCACCTGGAATGGTGAGGTGTTTCGCCAGGTAGAGCAAAATGAAAGATGCTTGAGATTTATAGAAAAATAAATGAATGTTAAAGGTAAAGGTTCCCCTCGCACATATGTGCTAGGCATTCCCGACTCTAAGGGGTGGGGGGTGCTCATCTCTGTTTCAAAGCCAAAGAGCCAGCGCTGTCCGAGGATGTCTCGTGGTCATGTGGCCAGCATGACTCAACTCCCGAAGCTGCACAGAATGCTGTTCCCTTCCCTCCAAAGGTGGCTCCTATTTCTCTACTTGCATTTTTTACATGTTTTTGAACTGCTAGGTTGGGAGAAGGTGGGACAAGTCACGGGAGTTCACTCCATTATGTGGCACTAGGGATTCAAACCACCGAACAGCTGACCTTCTGATTGACAAACTCAGCATCTTATGGACACTGGAAAAATGCTCAACCTTAAGGGTCTCAGATGAAGACAGGTGGTGGTGATGTAATAATCGTCAGCCAAAAATTAGTATCTTTTAAAATAATATTTAGGCCAGAAACATTTTAGGTCTTTTCCCAGAGTTCGATTTATGATGGACAGCTATATAAATGTTTTAAATAGATAAAGCCTAAAGAGATAAATTCAGAAATCCCGTCCCAAAGCTCGTTGTCATAGTCTTCCTTCATAGAGTACCACACAAAGGAATATATATTATTTTTACTTTCAGAAAAGTGAACAGTTATAACCATTTTAAACAATTTTAATCTCAAGTAATTTTATTTCAGTTATTATAGCTTGATCTTCTCCTGCTTTAGAGTGAGAGAGAGTAAATTTGGAGAGTAAAGACCTAGATCTTGATAGGATATTAAGTCTCCTAATCAACAATGCATTATAAGAAGTGGAAAAAGCAAGTACTTATTTAGGTTAGTCTTTACAGCACTTTGTGATGAACATACTGATGGCCCATCACAACTACATCAGTATCTTGAGTTTCTCTTGTCTTTAAAGTCATTTTCTCTTTGATGCAAGAAAAAATATATAAAAATAACTATCAAGTTACTTCTTCAGACAATTGGATTGGCTCTCAATATGCTCTCTCAAGACTCTACTGCTTGTTTAAGCAGAATAGATAAGGAAAAGAAAAAATGAAGCCATTTAAATTCTCTCTTCTATGCAATAATTACATAAAAACCTATTTATTTAGTTGTCTGCTTTTCTTTCTTCTCTTGCTGTTGTTAGTTGTCAAGTGATGTCCAAGCCACTGTGACCCCATGAGCAATGTTCCTCCAGGCCTTCCTGTCCTCTACCATCCTCTGGGGTCCATTGGAGCTCATGCCAATTGCTTCAGTGACTCCATCCAGCCACCTCATTCTCTGTCGTCCCCTTCTGCTTTTGCCCTCAATCTTTCCCAGCA